TGTTTCTTCAGACTTTAAACTGTAGGCATCTGAATCCTCTCCCAGATGGGTTTCAGCTGAGCAGGGTAGTCTCACCAACACCTCCAAGTTGTTGGGTTTCACGGGATCAGCAGCTGGGCCCTGGGTTGTCCTCAGAAGGAGTGTTCAGATTCGTTCTGGTTCTGACCCACGGAGATAGCTTCTTCCCCAGATGTTGGGGTTAGAGGCGTCCCTGTTCCAAGCTGTGTCTGCTTGTCTCCGTTCCTGGGCCTGTCTACCTCTGCGGTCCGCCGCCGGGCCTGTATGTCCCTGTCAGCTACCGCTGGGTCTGTCTCTCTCTGGGGGCCGCCACCGGGCCTGAATGTCTCTGCCGGCTGCCGCCGGGTCTGAATATTCCTGTCGGCTGCCGCCGCTGGGCCCATCTACCTCCACGGGCCGCCGCCACAGGCCTACCTGCGTCTGCTTGTCTCCACCGCCGGGCCTGTCTACCTCTGTGGGCTACCGCTGGGCCTGAATGACTTTGCCGGCTGCCGCCGGGCCTGAATGTCCCTGTCGGCCGCTGCCGCCGGGCCCGTTTCATGATCTGTTTTAACAAGTTTTTCTAAAACTTTTATCTTGGCACTCATATTAACAACTTTTTTAAAGATAACACAAAAATGACAAAACCAATATTATTTATAATTGACATTACATAAATCCCATCTAAATTAATTATCCTCTCATTTAATTGCTCCATTTTCAAACCATCCAGCATATTATTATACAGAGACCTAACTCCCTCCATTGTAATAGTGTTTCCCAATTTTTATTGTGGGAAAAAAAGCCTCTCTCTTTTAACTAATTCCACCCTTTAAGAATTCTCGATTGTCTCACCAAATCTGCCAACGATGATGACAAAGATGTGAAGCTGACTGCTTCTGCATAGAAGAGTAGAAGCCTTAGTGGATTTTTAAGGCAGCTACCTAGTGTGGCAGCAGCCTGAGGAGGGGGTCCAGGGAAAGCCCACAGTCCACCAGGAGAGGGAACCCACTGTCCAAAAAATGAAAAAGGAGATTGGGGGGGGGGAGAAACACATATGGTGGGAGCTGCCTAAAGGCAGAGCTGGCCGGTGGTGAGGGGCCAACTCTGGCAGCATATTGAATCCATGGGACGGGGGTGGGGTGGGGGAGGGGGGGTGGGGGTGGGGGGTGGGGTTGGGGGGGTTGTTGCAGAGAGGTTGCAACAAAAACTTAGCCAGTGGGCCAGTGACTCTGTGGCACGCAGCTCTGGCCTGTGCCAATGGCTTATTTGTGCCCCAAAGTTGGACAGCAGATGTAGCTCGAATTCTAATTGGTCTTAATAATAAAAACCCTGAGTCAGATATCAGGGTAAATGCTGAAAGATTAGAGAAATAAAGGGGCAGCTACTAGAGAGACTTCTTACCTTTACCCCACTGAAAGGGGTTGAGCTCTTGTCTCTGCCCTTCCTTATCACTTTCTCTCTCTGCCCAGCCATATCACTTCCTGTCTGTCTGTACAGACCTCCAGACCTCTATGGTTAATTAATGGCTAGCTCCACTTTCTGATCTTCAGGCAAGCTTTATTTGTTAGAGCACAAACAAAATATCACCACATAGGATCTTACTATTATTTCTGGCTGGCCTCAAACTCAGAGACCCACCCTGCCTCTGCCTCCTGAGTGCTAGGGTTAAAGGTGTGCACCATTATGTGTGGCTTTTTTCCTGTTTTTTTGAGAAAGGGTTTCTCTGTGAAACAGTCCTGGCTGTCCTAGAACTCACTCTGTAGACTAGGCTTGCCTTGAACTCACAGAGCTCCACCTGCCTCTGCCTGGGAAAAAGGTGTGCACCACCACTGCCTGGCTTATGCATGGCTTTTTTAATATTTATTTTTGTTTTATGTGTATGAGTGTTTTGTCTGCATGCATGCAAGTGTACCATGTTTGCCCAGGAATGCCTGGAGAAGGTGCCAAATCCCCCTGCCACCATGCAGATGCCGGCTGGGAACAGCTCAGGTCTTCTGTAAGGGCTGCAGATGCTGAGTCAGCTCTTCAGCACTAATGAGTCCCTTCTGTTATGTGCACATACTACATTTTCTTAACCTGTTCATCCATAGCTGAACACTTGAATAAATCATACAGGAATGCAGGAGCGAACCTGAGAGTGGAGACGCCTCTTTGATGTATTGCTTCATTTTCCTTGAGATGCGTACTCAGTAACAGGGTTTCTGGGGTTACGTGGTAGCTCTCTCTTCTTTCCGGGGGTGGATTTCACACACATAGCGTTCCCTAATGGCTGTACTGATTTACATTCCCACCCTCTTGACATCGCAACACAACTTTGTCATCTATCTGCAAAGCTGATGCTCAAAAACTTAGCAAGCCACTTACAAAAAACGGCAAAAAGTACTCCATGATTTTGTGTTGAGCAGCATCCATAGATGTTCTGAGCCCTTGTGTTCTAGGCTCCTTCCTTCGGTTTTTAGTGTCGCGGAGCAAACATGGGCTTCCTGTGTGTCAGGCGAGCACTCTACCAACTGATCTACATCCCCGGGGTCCTGAACCTTAGCTAGTGGAGGTTTACATTGAAAAGAATAAATTAATCACTCTCAAGGACCTTTTTTGTAAAAATACGCTCTAGAAAAGATGAAAGTGGGCTGTCTATGTTGCTGAATATCCGGAGTCCCAGCACTTGCAAGGTGGAGGCACAAGGAGCAGGATGTACCTAAAAGAGAAAAAGAAAAAGCTGGAGTTTGAAGTCATCAGCTATACAGGGAGTCGAGACTGTCCTGCCCCCCCCACCCCGAAGAACGAAAATATCAAAGTGCTGAAGAAAACAGTCCAAAGTGACATCGCATGTGTATCATTGTGTGTATCACAGAACTGCTATCACATGGGGCAACAGGAGACTTCCGGTCTCTTAAATCTCCGCTTACAAACGGGTTTATTGGTGGACACCGTTTTGAATCTTGCCAAAACCAAGGAGTGATAGTCAACATAAAGTCACCTTCTGAGCCGGGCGGTGGTGGCGCACGCCTTTAATCCCAGCACTCGGGAGGCAGAGGCAGGCGGATCTCTGTGAGTTCGAGGCCAGTCTGGACTACCAAGTGAGT